GAATGGCGTGATTTATGACGTCTCTTTAAATCGCACTTTATTCGCACGTGGTAGTTGTTTATTGTAAGTAGAAGTTTTATATGCGCTAAAGCGTTGAGTATTTCGGTTTACAGTTCAGTTTTTAGAAAATAATTAGATCTTGTTAGACGTGAATTCTTTCTGTTTTTACCGTTTCAATGTCGAAGCGTCGAAAATGTTTAACAGAGCATGAAATAGCAGAAATGATGCAAAATATTTCAGATATTGATTCTGAAATTCTGATATTCTGATATTGATTCTGAAAGATTAACTGACTGAAAGACATTTTCCAAAACTTTGTTCAGAAGAGACTGATAAGAAAATGAGACGACGATGCTTCGTTTGTTCACATTCCCGGAAAAATCCTCCAAAACGGCAAATGAGTTATTACGAGTTCAAGGAATGTAACGTAGGACTGTGTGTAGATCCCTGTTTTAAAATTTTTCATACGAAAAGAGAATTTTAAGTAATATATTTAGTTTTCAGATGTATAATGTTAAAAGTCATAAAATGGTGAGTAATTAAAATAAAATGTGTAAAATATGCATTTAAACAAGAAATAAGGTAATTAAAGTATATATATATAAATATCTATAAAGCATAAGCCGTTTAAATACTCTATAGAGCATTATTAAACAATGCGTTGATACTTCGGAAATTTCATGGATTTAGGCTTAGTAGCAAAGAAGCCCCCGGCCCTGGAGAGACGCTCGCGGAAGACACTGCCGGCCTCCGCGATAAGCGCGCGTTTTCGCTACCCGGCTCGAAGGGGTTAAAATCGAAATTTGTATAGAAACGCCACCCCTCCTCTTTCACTCTGAAGCTTGTGATGCACACAAGCAAAACCCAATATATAACGCACGAGAACGAGGTGACTGCAAATTTAGCTTAATATTTCCAATTTAAGTACTGGCATGGAATGAACAAAATGCATTATTCTATATAAAAACAAGTTTTCTGTAAATTAATCATGGGAGTAATATTTAATGTATTAGCTATGATAAGAATAACGTAACAATTTAAGTTGTTTTATAAAATTAAGTTTGTGGCTGCCGTTTAACAATTTATGATAATTGAATTGAATTTTATTTTAAATTTATATTTAATAAAAAGATTTCAAAGTTTAAGCTTTTAGCTTCATTTGCGGGACAAAACGTCACATTATGTTCGTATTGCATATGAAGAATGAATAAATTGCTTAAGAGTCTAGCTGTAAACTGTGAGCTAGAGAAACTTCATTAACTTTTTAAGTATATATCATTGCGTCTTTATTACTCATCTCATCTTCATTTGTCTTTATTACTCATCAAAATTTTTAAGCACTAGAAATCCCACACTTATTTTCTTGGTATTATGTCATTTGTTATTCGTTTTTAGTACTTGATAATGAGATATGCCTTACAAGCTGTATGTGAAGTAGAAAAGCTTAATTTTTTTTTGTTATAATTTTTTAAATGATTTATAAAATTTCATATTTTTTTTTTTTTTCATTTGTGAAGTTTCAAATCAATGATTCATATAACTTAAACGATATAAACAAAACTTTATTGAAGATCAATGGGTAACAAAATCCTCGCAAAAGATGAGAAGAGAATTCACGCAAAATTTGTTAGAAAAGATGCAGTTTGATGGCAGTCATCTTTATATGAAGTCGTATTTTTTTCATGGACAAGCAGCACATATCTATCAAACACTTAAATTTTTAAGACATTTTTTGTTTTCGCGAAGGACACATTATTAAGCAGAGTAAGAAAGGAAGCTGCTGTTCGATTCCCGGCGAAGGCGTTGCTCATTTTTCACATCTGCTGCTTCCAAAATACCTAATGTCTCTACAGTGGCGATCGAACTAAAAGGGTGGTGGTTGATGATTCTCCATACCCAAGATTTGGCGATTGGGTCCCGTAAAAACCCCAGTCGCCCTTTAAAAGGGGAGTATATAAGGTTTGTCTCCCGCCTTCTTAGCGTGCCTTCGTGTAGTAATCTGCATGCTGGACGCGTATTCCAGAGGTCCGTGGTTCGATTTCCGAAGAAGGCATTGCTCATTTTTTACATATCCTGCTTCCAAATTACATAATGTCTCTAAAACATCCACTACCAAAAGCACGAACAGAACCACCAGACGATGGTGGTGAGAGTAAGTAAGTGACCGTTCCATCATTCAGGTAATAAGAGATTGCGGCCCACCCAGAAGAGAAATACTGTAACCTACTCTTTTGTTCAATATGTCATTATCATTGAGGTTTAAGTTTTCATTAAGAGTCCAGTATTCAAGACTCCATTACTCCTAATCCTCGCTTTGGTATATTAATTAGCTGGAGGTCAAAATAATTCATCTCCAGCTTAGATTTCATTACTGTGTAGATTCCTCACTCTTTTTGTCTAAAATGAACGTCTTGGAAACTAGTAAACTGTGTAGCGACTTATCTCTGAGTTCAAACATCGAGATTACAACAAAGCTTCCACTTCGTGTTTTAACGCAGAGCAAGAAATAACAAAACTAAACTATAACTTACTTAAGAAGACTTAGACGAAGGCTAAACACAAGTATCTAACGTAGTTGGCTTTTAATTTAAACTAGCCGGTGAATATAAAACGTTACGTAATAGACGGCCGGGCGTAACAGCTTCAAGAGACAGTTTCTTGTATTGCACGAAAGGCAAACATGTGCTATTTAGGATTCCTAGCCCTCTCTCACAAAGTAAGTTGAACCTTCCTTAAATACTACTTCTAACTCATTTACATTCAACGTGATTCTAAAAACTCATTAGGGTAGAGAGTTGTAAGTGAAAACTACAAGGGCTCTAGTGTAGAATTGGTTGCTCCTTCAATGAGCGACAATTTTATTTTTTTTTTTTTAATTTTGGCGATGAAACCTTCGACTTCTTATTTTGGTTTTGTGTAGCGGCCATCTTGAAATTGTGCCCTACGAGCGACGATCTTGGCGTCAAAAAAAGAATCGCCAAGAAACAAGGGGCAGCCAATTGTAAACTTTTACGAAAACAAGAATCGATAAGAAAGATTTTTCCAAATTAAAATAACTGTTATAAAATTAAAATATAACTTAACAACTGAACAATCTACTGTCCATGCTTCTACTATTCAAAAATATGTTACTTAAAAGCCCATTACCTAAGATTTTATTACTCAAAAATCCACTGTTCAAGACATTGTTGGTTAAGATATTCTTGTTTATATAACAGCTCAAAGTGGCACTGTTCAAGAGTTGCTTATTCAAGTCTTAACGTTTGATGGTTTCAAGAGCAATGTTTGGACTGGCAAAATATATGGCTTTTTTGAAATATGAAGGGAACAACAGCCACGATGCTTCTTCATCACCTTTCTAAATTGTGAAAGAGCTCTGTCTATCAACAATGGGACAACATTTCTGGCCATGTTGAGAGACATCAGGACACGCATCAGTATTTGTATGAATGAAATATAAGGATGGTTGTCAGTGCAGTTTTACATCTGACTACAGTAGCAAAATGATGATTATTGACAAATATGAACTAGGACTGCTTCGACTGACAAATGCGAAATAGAACCGCCGGAAATGATTTTTTAATATTTTTAAAATACAGTGAAGACCATCACGAGATACTATTATTGTACAATATTGTACAATTTAAAACAAAAATACGCAATATAATATATTTTCTAGTAAAGTAATAAAAGTAAGTATGTATTTCTTTGTATTTATTTATATACTGCTACTCTCTTGGTATGGCTAGTACGATAATTTTATGAGTTTCTTCGGCTTTAATGATGGTTTACGGCAGTAGGTCACCTTTTGGAAGAATACAGAATTTGATTATAATTAACTTCATAGATCTGACTGCAGTATTTTTTAAGGAGAATGTCGTGTGAATATGTCCTTGGCATAAAAAGGTTATATAAAGAAAATATTTTTTATGTCTTTGTTGTGTCCTATGTATAAGTTACGAGATCGAGCGCAATACGTCTTCTCGATTCGCATATGGCATTTATTTATTTAAAAGGAAAGCAAAAGTAAGAATGCATTTCATTTATTCAGAATGAAATTTAATTTATAACACATTGTATTTATGAAAATTAAATACAAAAATCAGGGAAATATGAAATCAAAAAATCGAAATTTGCCATTAAGCAGGAGCAATGAATCTGTCAGATCAAATTCAAAAGGAAATACATAATTAATGAAACTCAACAGTAAAATTATACTTACAATTTATTTCTAAAATATCTGGAAAGGTGGCATTATATAAAAAATTTTAAGAACGTAAAAGTAAATTTTATATAGTTTTGTATTTTTTGAAGCAAATCCTTAGAAAAAATTTGCATTTGGTGACTAAATTTAATTAATTTTATATTTCTTTAATTTTGTTCCATGTACAGGAATTTATCAGTTAATTTTATAAATATCATTACGTTTTGCAACTATATTCTCGCTACCAAACTCAGCCAGTTTTTAAATATGTACAGATCGCAATTTCATTGAAAAACTGATTAAAAGTTTTCGATAAATACTGAAAATATTAAAAATTCAGCAATGCATGAAAAACTGCTCATTTAGAAATACGTAATATTTTATCAAATTCAGTGTTAATACTAAATCGAAAATATAGAAGAATATAAGAGATATTTGGAGATGCTGCGTTTTTTAAGAGATTTCATGAAATTTTAAAATTTTCTCAGAACGCTTGGCATTGGTGTTCAAATTCGTCAAGAAAATTCACCACTGACGATTGAAAAATCCTGTTTTAACATTTTTTTCCTGATTTTCCATAGCATATTAGGAGCTAACATTTTTACTCTTATGTATTTCTAGATGAGTAGATTCATATATAATTTAATTTTGAGAAAAATTGGCGATTCGAGGTTTGAAGACTTTCTTTGCGGGTACAAAGTCGCAAGCCAGTTTAGTCTTAATAAATAATATGTATATTAAGTAAATGCATTGCAAGTTATTTTTTTTTTCAAATATTTAACTCGTGACACATATGTTACATCATAAAATAATTTTATTCAGATTGAAATACTAAAATCTTGTTTCAGCATCATAAAGGATGACAAGAAAATTTATGAAAGCTACGAAGAAAAAGAAGCTGCTGTTTTAACAAGTTGATTTCGTCTTTTCGGCATAAGATTATACGTACTTAGTACTTAGATACGGCATAAGATTATACGTACTTAGATGTGAAACTGAAATATAAGAAGCTCATATAAGCATTTAAATTCTCAAGATATATTTTTCCTCTCGAGAAAGAGAGATTATTGAACAGTAAACAGAGAAGCTGCAAGAAAAGAAAAAAAAGAGAGAAAAGGGATTTTCCCCTAAAAAAAAATTTGGGAATCAACCCATGTAAATATTTCTCTTCATGATAAACGTCAACGAAGATCAAGTGCTCAGGAAATTATTTATGAAATTATACATTACTTCTACCGTAGTAACCTCGAAGGGCACCACCAGCCAATGGTATTCCATAAACGACTGTTCCGTCATTCAAGAAATCAGCAGAAGAGGGGCCACCCAGAAGGAAGTTACTGTATCCTAATGCTCCGTTTAATATATTCGCATTAACATTCAATCCTCTATTTAACAGACCAGTATTTAAGATTCCATTATTTAAAACATTGCTATTCAAAAATCCTGTGTTCAAGATTCCATTAGTGAACAATCCATTATTTAAAATATTGCTGTTCAAGACTCCATTAGCCAATAATCCATTATTTAAAACATTATTGTTCAAAAGTCGCGTGTTCAAGACTCCATTATTCAAGAGTTCTCTGTTCAGCAATCTGTTATTCAAGAGTCCATTGTTCAGTAGACCATTGTTTAAGATTCTAGTGTTAATGTCGCTGTTTAAGAGTTGGTTACTCAGCACTTGATTTCTAATGGCTCCAAGACTGACGGTAGGATTGACCTTCACTAATTGTGGGCCAACAACAGGTTTTATTAATTTGGTAGTCACAGGGGTGTTAGATATAACTTCAACATCAGCTGGATTTTGGTTCGCTGTGCCAGGTTCGTTGGTCTTGACTTGGGCTCTAAACCCAGCAGCATCAGCAATATAGTTGACTTGCCTCTGTATACCATTAGCATCTGTGAAGCCATAACTTCCAGTAACGACACCAGCTCCATTGCCGGCTTCTTCCCTGTATTGTTGACTGCTCACATCCTTAATAGAGTATCCAAATTTATAAGGTTGTGGCTGGGGAAGCTGTAAATAAATAAATTTGCACCGTGAACAAAAAGATATCTTGTATTTCGGAACAAAAATATAAGATAAATTAAGAGTTATCTGCTATTTTAGATTTAAAAATGTCTATATATTGAGGAAAACTTTAATTAGTTGAAGCTTAATGGAATTTTAGAACAAATTTTAATTTCAACAAAAATGATGCCAAGTTGAAAATGTATTGCTGTCATTAATAATGAAGAATGATGAAATAATGAAGGTTTTTTTGCTTAAAATTTTTAGTTAATTTTAGTTTGAGGATAAGAATTTTACGTTTAAAACAAATCATACTGCAAAATGCTTAGTGAAATTTAATACGAACAGAAATTCTATAATTACTGGCATAAATTTTTCATTTTCCTCGTCTTGTTTTCCTTTTGAAAATCCATGGAGGGAAACTATGCGGTGTATACTAATTCTGATCAGGTAGTTGAAGGAACTTAAAAATGGTTAAAAATGTATACGAAGCAGATACAATGTTATTAGATACTGCATTAGTATTATATTAGATATTGCTTCAGTGCTATTTTTTATGTTTACATTTATTACTCACAACTCAGGTTACTGGTGAAAGCAAAATTTCTGATTAAGCTCCATAGTCTTGTTAGTCTGGAGATTCGAATTTCTGGTAAATCCTGTAAAAATAAATTTTAAAAGGATTTGACAAAAGAGAAAACTTAGAGTATATCTTTACTGCCTAAGTATTTTACTGTAAATAAGCGTTTGAAAGTAAACTCTAGGGAGAAAAACAACGAAGTGATATCCGACCTTTTCTCTTATTTTGTACTTTCCAGAAGAGGAGAGATATCAGTTCCCATTGATTATCAACTTTCCAGACTTTCCAGTCAACTTGCTATTTATCGTGCTACTTAAAGTCGCCTTCATGGGTGGTATCTTTATAATTGTGAGCATTTTGTTTCCCTGTTTATTTTCAGAGCACTCTAGGCCTTTTTCGCTCAGGCGAACTAGAAATTCGAAACTATTTTCTACATATTTGATGGAATTTCTTAAAGCTGCAAATTTTCGATCTCACAGAAATCTAATGGTTCTTTTATGTCTAAAGATACCTGCAGTTCTGCCCTTCTTTCGCCGGCATTTCTTCTAATTCTGTGTACGTTACCCATTCTGAAATTTCTGTATCTGC